CGCAAGCCCCTGCCATGTCATTCATGCTCAGGCAGGTCAGGCCGAGTCAGGCCAGGTTGCTCAGGCAGGTGCACACACCAGGTCCGTGGCCAGTCGCTGCAACAGGTCAGGACCCGGTTGCGCAGGCCAGGTGCAAGGTTTCACAAGTCAGTGTTGGTCAGGCGTCATGTGGCCGGGTCAGGCCAGGCTTGCAGTGCCAGGAGTGCAGGCAAAGGGGGACCATCCCACAACCTCTGAGTTGCCCAGGCAATCGCAGGAGGCCCATGCCGGTCAAACAGGTTCAGTGTACTCTGCGCGCTCACACCACGTGCCTGGGTCCGCCAAGTGTGCTGCAATCGGATAGAGGTGCAGCAGGAGGTCCGGGCTGGGTCGCTCACGCCTTTGGATGGCGTGCCCAGAAATGCGGACGTGAGGTGTAAGGTTAGTGTAGTGGCCCACGGGCCGACGGACCTTCTCCGGTGTTGGTTCTTTCGATGCCACGCGCAACATCCGCAGCAAGATGCGCAAGGAGGTGGACCTTTCTCAGTGTCGGCGCTTTCGCAAGGTCCCAAGAGCCAGGTGCGCCGACAGAGGCAGGCACGTCGTGCCCAAGGTTTGCAGGTGACTCCGCGTGTGACTAGTTTCCAGCATTCTGGCAGGGTCCCAAAGGTGCAGGGCGGTGCGCTGTGAGCATTGGTGCAAGGTTCTGGAAGTCGTCCCCAGGGTCAGCTTTTTGTTGCGGGGATGAAGGTCCACTCAGCTGTGGGGTAGGCCGGGTAGGCCTGAACAGAGGTCCACGGCAAGTTTCAACATGCAGGCAGGCGCAAACGGTGCCGAGGGCTCAGTAAGGACGGTTAGAGCTTAACCGCCTAACGATTCCCAGGGCACATGCAGCGAGGTCAGGGCCTACCAAGGCGCGAAACAGCTGCAGGCCAGGGGCAGCCCAGCGCAGGGTCCCGGAGGTTCCAAGTGGCCGCAAGAGGTGCAATTCAATCATAAAGCCAACCGGCGACATGACATACAGGGCACTTCAGGCAGTCGAAAGCTTGGGGTTGTCATGGCCAGTGTTTCAGGCGTGTCCCAGTAGCCTTCAGGTCACAATGAGGGAAGCGTGTTTTCATTTTGCGCGTACTTGCGCATCAGCTGCTCAAGCATGTGATGAAGAACAGTTTTGGAAGAGGCGTGGGTTGCGGGTAGTCAGAACGGGGTTGCCATAGAAGCACCGTCGGCAGGTGTACTTTCGAAACCTCAGGAGCTCGCCCGCCAGTCTGAGCTGGGGGGGAGCAGGTGCAGCAGTTCAGAAGGGTGCAGGAAGCATTTGTTCAGCTCAGAGCCAGCCTCGGCGTCAGGGGAGCGTGCGTCGCCTCCCGAGAAATCATATTGATTTAGTGGAGCTCGTTCCACCTCCCGTCAGTCAGGTCAGACATCAGATTCAGTCAGGTACTTTGCGTTGCCAACTTTTGTCATGGCGCTCCCAAGTGACGACGTCGTGAGGACCGAGGTAGCCGAAGCTGACAGTTACTTGCAGTGTATCCTTCAATCGGGGAAATGAGTCTAATGCTCATCAACATGCAGCTTTCACATCTGCTCAGGATCACATGTCTCCGGCTAAGCGTGAACTGGAAGCCGAGGTCGGAGGATGACCTGGGAGACAAGATGACGAATGAAGACTTCAGTGGTTTCGATTCAGACCTCAGGTTAATGGTTAGTTTCAGTGAACTTCGGCTTGAGCTCCTTAAAAAAAAGGTTGCTTGAGACCAAGAACCAGTTTACCTCAGACCGAGAACACCGCCGAGCTCAGACATCAACTGTTTGCCCTCTAGGAGGCACAAGACTCAGTGGTGACTCATGTCGCCAGCAAGCTGGAGGGGTTGGGGATGCGACACTGCGACACGAGTTCGTGTCCGGCCAGCTCACTGCTTGGGACGTTTCCACCATGCAAAAAAGCCGTTGCTTCCTCATATGTTGCGGTGATTCGAGTCAGACCACTGTCAAACGGGTTTGATAAGTCCTTATTTTAAAAAGTGCTGAGCTGTAAATTTTTCGCAGCGACCCAAACTTCTTCTTTGATCTTGATCTCAGTTTTGGATTTTGTACATGCGACTTTTGATGAAATTTTCTTGCTGACCATGAATGCATGTGATCTCTCAAGGCTCAGAGTTAGCTGAGCTGCAACAAAATTGTTGTGGGCCTCTCTAGGGCGCTTGTAGAACGCTTCGAGTAAAGGCCCCAGGCTTGAGAGTCTAGTAAGTGCCGTAGGTGCGAGGCAGCTGTGGCCTGCCGGATGCGCTAGAGTCCCTGTGCCTGTAAATGGGTGACGAAAACCCAGCCATTCTCTCCGAAGAAGAGGACAGCGTGATTGGCACTAGTCAGGTTAGCTTGCTGTGGGCAAGACTTCATAATTTAGACCTCCAGCTGTGGAGGGAGAGCAGAGCCATTGCATCTGAACGTGCCCGCGCAGAGTCTTTGACCTTGCTTATTCAAGAAATCCGCGCTGAGCTTGCTAACCTCAGCCACCGTCTCAACCGTTTGCAGGCGAGGGTCCAGCGGTGCGAAACCGCTTTAAATCTAGATTCTCTTGATTGAACCCTTGCAGCTAACCCATACTTCTGAATTGGGGGGAGGGGCCGTGGCAGCTTCTTCCAGTTCAGGGGGTGATGGGGTCGAGCTACCAACAGATTGGGAACGTGGGTATAATGGCCTTTTAAGTGAAGCCATTTACAGAGGCCTTGGTAATCATAGCATCAAACTTCCATGGGAAGATGGCCCAGCAAAACATGTGTTCTGCCCCAGGCCGATTTTGGTTAGTCCAGGTTTATCACCCGCCGACAGTTATATCCTGGAGGCTCCTGAAGACAAGTTGCGCCAGAATGCAAGCATGGATGTTTTGCCGCTCTATAGCCATCAGCCGCTTTATGCATCTGCAGTGCGCCTCAGGAGTGAAGATTGCCTTGCTCCCAGGTCTTCAGACACCTGCAATTTTAAGAAGTGGCTATCGCTTCTCAGTCATCACCTTGATGGTTCTGAGTCTGGAAAGTACCTAAAGCGCCTCGAATCTCCCCAAACGGAAGAATGTATACGTACCATCCTTTGGGGCGAAATCAAGAGCCACGCTGTGTAAGAGAGCCAGCAAAGCCTTCAAGTTGATTGCCTTCGCAGAGTCGAGAAAGTCAAAGCTTTTTCCGTTGAGTGACACCATCGTGGTTCCGTTCTTAACTGAACTTGATAAAGCCGGGAAAAAATCTTCGATCCTCGACGCAATGCAGACCTTGAGATTCTTGCACCATGTCCTCGGAGTTTTCGTTGAAGGCAACCTCTTCAAACATCCGTGGATCTGTGGACTGGTCAGACGTTGTGAGCAAGAAAGGCCTCCGTTGAAACAATCGCGTGTTTTGACTGCCATGGAGGTCCTTTGCCTTGAAAAACTTTTCATAGAAGCAGCTTTACACGAGTTTGACAGATTCGCGCTCGGAGCGTGCCTGTTTTTGCTGTACGCCTGCTGCAGAGTGTCAGATGTGTCATACCTTGACAACATGGTTTTGGACCTGCCTTCTGTCTGCAGCCTAGACAATCCAGGCTACCTTGAGGCAAGTACCATGCATCATAAGACCCAGAGAGTTCGCAGCAAAGCGGGGACGCCACTCCTTTTGATTGCTCCTGTACGAGGTCTACGTGAGAAGCCGTGGGGAATTGAATTTCATAATCTGTGCAAAAAGTTCCATAAAGGGTTCTTGGAAAACAAGACCGCTCCGCTCTTGAACGGTGTTAGTGGGGACAGTACTTGGAGTGCAGACAAGATTTCCAGCGCAGAGGTCTCGAGGTGGCTAAACAGCTTGCTTGAGATGGCCCTCGGTCGGAAACCCGAACCAGGATTGACTAGCCATGGGTTGAAGGCCACCGTGTTGAGTTGGTGCATGAAAAGTGGTGTCCAGGACGACGTCCTGAAGGTTTTGGGACACCACAGTAGACCCGACAAGAAAACTTCAGAATGCTACGGGCGTGATGCCATGGCTGCTCCATTGCGTGTTCTCACAGGTGTCGTGCGAGCAGTCGCGCAAGGCAAGTTCTATCCAGATTCGTCCAGGTCAGGGCAGCATGCTCCAGCCGAGGCTCCAGCAAATGGACCGGACAAACAAGCGCCTGAAGGTGCCACCTGAAGCTCCGCCCTCGGATGCGCCCCAGCAGGAAGGGGAGGCCGATGCATATAACCTAGATGATGTCGACCCTATAGCTGAAGCCCCAGGCACGTCAGATTCAGATGATGTGTCTAGCAGCTCAGAAGAAGAAGCCCAAGGAGAGCCACCTTCGGCATCAGACCAAACCCGCGTGATTTCATCAGCCCTTCCCAAGCTGGATTGGCTCCAGTTCGGGGAAGTCTTTGTCAACCCTAGGACTCACAAGTTGCACCTGCAAGCTACGGGTTGTCTTGCGATGGCATGCGGAAGGTCTAATCATGGGCTTGTGAAGTTTGCAGGACGTGTCTTTGAGGAGAAAGACAAGTGTCGGCAATGCTGCGCAACCAAGCCCATCAGATCCCCCGCGGGGATGGTATCATTTCTAGATGAGTCTGCCGCCAAGAGAGCCAGATCGTCAGCGTGATTGACAAAATGGTTTACTGGCGTACCCTTGCAAGAGTTTCCTTGTGAGTGAAATGAGTTTACATTATTGAAGAGCATCGTCACATGTGGCTGATTTGCATTAATGCGCATGGCACTGATCATGTGAGTTATCACGCTGATCATTACTGACAAGAGACCATCGTCGTGAAGTGGCTGAATCTCTGTCGTTTGTTTCATGACTTACGAGTGAAAGTTGCCTCGGTCATGTGATCGGTCGTCCATGGGACAGACAGTCGCCCAATGGGCAGACACCATCGCCGTCATATGGCTGACTATCGCCCAAGGGGGCAGATGAACGCCCATGTGGCAGTCAAATTGACGCCGCAGATCTTGGATCATAAAGCGCGGTAGTGATTATGGTCGTTAGTTTCGGCCATGGCAAACTCCTTGACAGATTCGGAGGCCGTGTTGATTGAGTGCTGCAAGGCGGCTGGGCTCCCTCAGGGTCACATTGACCGTCTGAAAGACCAAAGGCTTACCTCCTTGGCCAAGTTGGCTTTTGCCGCGGGTCAACCAGGCGAGACCCCAACTGATGCAAAGCTGAAGCAGCTGGTGCAAGTGGGAAGTGATGAAGTGCCTGTTCATGTGATTTCGGCAACCCGGCAAGTTGTGTATGAAGCACAAACCTTGCTGATGGCCCAGGTTCGTTCTCTAATTGAACGCAAGGACGATGAATCCAAGATGGAATTGGCTCCAGCAGAGTCAGCAGAGCGTGCCTCACGTCAGAAAGACCAACAAACCCGCCTTCTGGGCGTCAGCCTTGTTGGTGAGGCGGCTTGCAGCCATCAGAGCTACGACCTTGTGATGAAGACTCTGGAGCAGAATACCCTTTCCTACTTGGGCCCTTCAAAGTTCCCTTCAAGACAAGCAGAGCTTAAAAGCGAGAAGCCTATAAGAAGACCTTAGAGATCAGTGCAGGTTCCGTGAAAATTGCAGATCCAAAGCCGGAACTCACATGTGAGACAGGTGCCCCCCTTGAGCTTTCATGGGCCCTGCAACGTAGGGCCCTTGCCTGCGACCTTGTCGGCTTATCTGGCTATGCCGAGCAGCAAGCCTGGCATGCGCGCCTCTTGCGTCATCTGACTGACATCGACCCGCCACCAGGGTACTCCCGTGTAAGCGTGCAACAAATCTTGGCGGCCGACAGGGCTCCTTGGATGAAAATGGCTGAATGGACCACTGATGGGATCCAACGAAAGGGCTGATGGGGCCCTTCCGCTCAATTCGTTGTTCACACGCTGCATCAGCGAACCCAGCGTCACATTCCACTTGCTGCCTCTCCCCGTGTCAGGTGCGTTCAAACGATCCGCTGTAGCCTTAGCAGATGATTCGCATGAGCCTGCCTTCGTACGTCCCAACAAGACACAGAAGGGCAAAGGAAAGAAAGGAGGCGGGAAGGGTAGGCCGCCGGCCCCCAAGAACTTCCCAGCTGTGGGGTGCCATAGTTGTACTCGGTCTGGACAGCCAATCTGTTGGGCATACAACCTGCCAGGGGGCTGTGACAAGACCTCTCCTGGTAAAAAGTGTCCGAAAGGGATCCACGTCGGCTGCAAGCCAGGCTGTGGTCAGTCCCACAGCTACCAGATCCACGCAACTGCCGCGCCTGCGGCTTGGCAGTCAGGCCACAGAGGAGGGTCCACCTGAAGCCCCTCCTCGCAATCCTTGCGCCCGAATGTGGGTCAACAGACCCTCCGCCATCAGACCTCTTGGGTCAGTTCCTGCAAAGAGCCTCGGCTCGTGTAGTTGGCAAATGCCTGTCACAGCTTTATGCACTAGAAATCTTCGCTGGATCAGCTCGTTTGACCGCTGAGATTAGACTATTAGGTCTCCAAGATTCGCTTGGCATAGATCATCGGCTGCAAAGTCGGCTACCGGCGCCGGTGCTTTCGCTGGACCTCAGTGAAAGTAGTGCGCGCGAGATTGTGATGAGCATCCTGGATTCCCCTAATCTCATTTATATACATCTTGCACCGCCGTGCGGAACGGCGTCCCGCCAGCCGGGGAAACCTGAAGTTGCCACGCTAGANNCGGTCTGCGTTCCAAAGACAAAAAAGACAAACGGCGTCCCGCGCCAGGGACATTCAACGCTGTGCCAACGATCCTCCGCCGGCGCGATTGGACAAACATCCGGATGGATTGCCCGATTTGCACAAAACACATCCTGCATTGCACGCCCGCGTCCTCTCCGCCAATGCCTTATACGAATACTCAGGTTTCTTGTTCGCCGAAGCCTTTCGGCGCGGTATTTTCGCCAGCCTGGAGAATCCTGTTCGATCCTACTTCTGGCAGTGTTCCGGACTCCTTAAATACATCAACGACATTCCTGCCCTCAAGACTTTCCTTGACCATTGTATGTTCCAAGGATCGAGGCCAAAATCGACTCAGCTCCGCCATTTGTTGCCGCAGTTGTGCAATCTCAGCTGGCAGTGTGACGGACAACACCAGCATGCCAGCTGGGGCAGAATCGCGGGAGGATGGGCCACATCCCAGGAAACCGCTTATCCCGTCCAGCTCTGCCGAGAGTGGGCCTACTTCCTTGTCCAACAACTGCTGGACTGAAGCCTCTGCCCATGAGCCTTGCAGAGGTACAGCCAGAATCACTCCTGGCATCCCGTGTTGCTACTTCCTCCCAGGCAGGAAAGAAACCCCCGCCTTTAGTGCCCGAGTTCAAAGCCTTTGCCCGTGTGTCAGGCCCCCTTTCTTCATTACCGTCAGGTAAGCTAAAAAACGGCTTGATAATCAATCCGCCCTTGAAGTGCACTCCTGCGCTTTCTAAACTTCCTGCGGGCTCCAAGGTGATCGGGCCGCCTGTGATACAAGGGGGTGTTGAAGCCGACCCGATTGATAACCATGCAGAGACGTCCTCTGAGTGCAAGCATTTGCATAAATTCCCTCCTGATCCTCCGCCTGCTCCTTTCAACCCAATCCCTAGTGTAGGCGACTTAGGGTTTAGTCCCAATGGTTTCCCCGTGTCAAAACGTGCAGCGCCCTCTGCTCACGATGGGCGCTGCTCCTCCTCCTCTTTTGGACACCTAGGGTTGAATCCTCCAGGGTTGCCGCCTGTGCCAGCAGAGCCACTTCCTGTTTGTAGTGAACCAAAAGCCTCAAACAAAAAGCCAAGGTCAAAGACGTGGAACGCATGTGCCGCCTTCTGCCCCTACAATCCCCCCACCAAGGGGAAAGCCGAAACGGGGGTGCCTTTTACGTAGGAATGTACTCCAAGGGTGCTGGGATAGCAGGCATGCACACCTCTTCGAGAACGCACCCCGAATGTGTCAAAGTCATTACCAGATTTGTGAAAGAACAATCCAACTACGTGGCCAAGCCTCCGCCCTTCACGTCAGCTGTTGTCCTCGTCAACACCTTAACTGGGATCCATCGGGACGATATGAACAGCTCGGAACCGAATCTTCTTGTGGCGGCCAGCCATTTCGGCAAGGGCGGTGTATGGATTGAGGACGACTCGGGACAGGACATCCGCGAGCACAACGGAACGTTCGTTAGTGGGAAAGTTGTCCCGTTTGATGGCAAGCCAATTCTCATCCCAGCCAGAGACAAACTTCATGGCACCGAGCCTTGGGAAGGTGACAGGATTGTCATCTCGACTTATGACCTGAAAGCCAAAGATCGCCCCAGCAAGGAGGACACCCAAGCCTTGATAGGACTAGGGTTTAGGCTTACCCCCGTAGACCTCTGCAACCACTCAATTATGGTTGGGATGCCCTGGGATCCTTTGGATTTTGTCCAAAAAGCGTGCGAGGCACCCACGACACATGCTTGAAGGCGTTCCTGGCATCTTGGCAAAGGTCATTGCTCAGAACAGGCGGAAATCAGCAGAGACCCTAGGTCGTGAAAGAACAGCCGCAATGAGACATTGGGTGTCCCATGCGCGAGACTGCGCATGTGAAGAGGCGGAATTCAAAGCAGAACTACCCGACCACTGTCAGCGGGTCCTAAGCCAAAAGAGACTCATCGTCTTTAGGGACATGTTAAACGAAGCAGGACACGGAGATGAAAGCCTAACAAAAGAGCTATCGCAGGGATTCCGCTTGAGCGGCCCGATCCCCGACTCACACATTTTTCGTCCTGTGAGCACATAACCAAAGGCGTGAAGAGCCCAGGCGACCGTGAGCTGGACGAGGCCACGCATTCAGCCACGCAAGAAGAATTGAAGAGGGGTTGGTTATGGGGTCCCGTTAGCCCGGATAGTCTCCCTAGTGACGCCGTAGTCACACGCAGGTTTGGAATTTGGCAATCCTCAGGGGGTTCCAGGAAGTGCAGACCAATTGACAACTTCAAAGAATCCCTGGTCAACATGACCACCTCTGCAAACGAGAGCATCACTATCCATGGAACAGACACGATCGCAGCTGGGATCGCACTTGCGATGTCCAAAAACGCAGAAGCTGGATGCCCGCAAGCCTTCTTATGAAGTGCTATGACTTGCGCAAAGCGTACAAAAACGTGCCAATGCACTCGTCATCCTTGAATGAAAGTTTCCTTGCAGTATTTGATCCGAATGACGGCAAATGCAAGATTTACGGACAGTACGTCATGCCCTTCGGGGCTCGCAGTTCGGTTCATGGATTTTGTAGGGTTAGTGCTGGGATCTGGACCATAGGTGTAGCGCTTTTGAGCGCCCACTGGTACTCTTATTTCGATGACTTTCCTGTGGTCGAAGGTTCAGATTCATGCCCGCTACTAGGAAGATCGCTTTCGTTCTTGTTCACCCTTCTAGGGTGGGAAGTTGCAGGCGACAAAGATCAAGATTTTTCTTCGCTGGCCGTTGTGTTGGGACTTGAATACAATCCTAAAGAATCCCGGCTGGGAACGATCTTGATGCAGAATACCCAAAAACGAATCGAAGACGTTTCATCCGAAATTCAAAAATGATTGAACAGCAAATTTCTTAGCGCCAAGGACGGAGAGCGCCTACGAGGCAGACTGCAATTCTTGGACGGCCAACTTTTTGGCAAGCTTGCCCAGTGCGCCTGCAAATCCCTTTCGAGGCATGTGGCTCTTGGGGGTGGAAGGCTCCCCGATCATACGTGCGCCCAGCTCGCATTCATTGCGAACCACATACAGTCCGGCAAGCCTCGTCGTGTCACCAGCCAACTGGAGGACACTCTGCTGATCTTTGTTGATGCGTGTCATGAACCCTATGAACATCTGCCAGCCGGGTTCGGAGGAATCTTGCTCGACTGCCAAGGGCGCGAGCTCAGCTACTTTTCAGAGCTCGTTGATAAGGACGCCGTGAGTTGCATCAACCGGGATTCGAGCGGAAACCCGATTTTTGAATTGGAGTGTTTGGCCATCCTCATGGCAGTGAAGCTTTGGCACACTAGATTGTATGGACGCCATGCCATTATCTTCACGGATAATACTGGCGCGCTTGGGTCAATGATAAAGGGCCATGCGGAGAATGCCATCGGTAGCTCCTTGGTTCAGGTGACCCATGCCATCCTTCATGCTGTTGACTGTGTGGCCTGGTTCGAGCGTGTCAGCTCGGCAAGCAATTGTGCCGATCCCCCATCCAGGGGTGACATCAAAGGACGAGTTGGGGTTAGATTTGCTTGCAACCCAGTTACCGTCTTTGAAGGCGCCGTGGGGTGACGTTCCCTCACATGCTGATCTTGGGCTTGGGGTGTGA